GTGTGTGTGTGTGTGTGCGTGTGTGCGTGCGTGCGTGCGTGCGTGCGTGCGTGCGTGTGTGTGTGTGTGTGTGTGTGTGGGTGTGTGTGTGTGTGTGTGTGTGTGTGTGTGTGTGTATAACTTATTGTTTTCTAATTTTTATCTACTATGTTTATTGTGGTGGTATATATATTAATTTATAATGATGACCAATAAATTGATGAGAAAATATACAATCGAAAATGTTTTCTGCACCTTACGCTACATGAGCCCGATGAAAATTACAAATGTCATATGCCTTCAGCTAAGACACTCGCATAGAAAAATTATTACTTACTGATAGTTTTTAAACATTAGAAAAAAGAAAAAGATTCGTAATTTAAACTGTTTCGAACTTTATGTTTTTTGTTTTCTTACATTATTGCTGGAGGTTTTTAATACTTGACAGAATTCGAAATTCAATTTTACAGATTAATCTAACTTATAAAGGTGAAGCAAATAAAGTACTCTATTCTATTCTAAGATAGCTCCTGTCAGTTTTTTTTTTACATTTGATTAAAAATATTGGTTGAATAATAGCAATGTTTATAAAATAAGAAATATTTAATATTTTACTTTGTGAATTCGACTCTGCTCTATTGCAGTGATATTCTTCGCAGACCACAAACCAATTTTGATAGTTATTTATATATGAAAATTGATTACTATCAAGACAATTCCATATTCCATGTCATTATTCTGTCTCATTTTTATAACGGAAGATCGATGTCTATTTTAACAAATATAAGTAAGTAAATACTATTTATACACTAAATATCAAAAGAAAAAAAAAAAAAAATATAAATAAAAAAATAAAAGTAAAGTCGTTCTTCTTATAAAAATATGTCTACAGAGTAATCATAATTAACTTAAAATACATAAATCAAAATTATATTTTCATTATCTATCATTGAACGTTTGTAATGCGTCCTCGACTGTCCACATCTTGAAGATATATTTCCCACCGCGCCTCGCAATAATAAACTGCTCTCCTCTATTAATTTCTAATCATAAAGATCAACTTGTATTGGCATAGAAATATTGTAGCATTATCATTAAATAAAATAATTAATTGTACATTGAAAATTCGTATGATATTCCTATTTCCGTAGTAAAAAACAATACAGACAATAAATGGCAATTTAGTTTTCTTAAAAAAAAAAAGAAATATGTCTTGTGTAAAATACAGAAATTTTACCTTAATAGAAGTGAAAAAAAATTAGATGAGGGACATTCATGGAGAATATTCCATCCATTGTCATGAACAAAAAATAAATTAAAATTAAGGTACAGTATGTGTGCACTGTATACGTATATAAATTCGGCAAACAAGACATCATGACTGTGACGCGGCGTCCTTTGTCACGAGCTACGCAAAACACCTGTCCCGTAAATTGTCCAATTTATAGCCCTGTAAGCGATGAGCCTTGGCCACTCGGTTTCACTGCAGGACAGTCCAGTCCGACCACTGGCACAACAGCCACAACACGACACGGGCCGAAAAAAAAAAAGAAAAAGTGTCATTTAATTATCTGTGGAACTGAAGTTGAGTCAAGTTCAAACTATTTTTAAAATTCGAACGTATTCCAATTTCTTTTTTCGATATTTGATAAACATTTTTATTGCTATTTAGCTTTAAATTATATAAAAAGAAAAAAAAAGCATCAAACAATTAAAATCTGACGGTAAAGACCTAAGTGAACGTAGTTACAATTCCCCACTGTTTTAAGTAATGAAATTGGAATTAAAATTAATAACTTGTTTGATTAAAAAGCACTAGTTTGCAATTTACATATCATACATCATAATTAAAGTGAATTCATTTACGGTGAAATCCATTAATATTCTATCCATCAAATTATTATCACGTCTAATTAATGAGATCGTAATTTTATTACAAGTCTTTTAAAATATATATAAACTTTTTTTATAATAAAAACAAAATTAATACACATATTTTTAAATAAAAAGTTAATGCAACTACGTGCATTGTTATAAACTTAATTTACACCATTTAATACATTTCCCGTTTTCTTTTTGAAAAAGCAAATGCATTTTAAACTTTACAATATGAGGACTGGTGAGATTCATTACACGAATAATATCTCTGAATGGAATACAATAATCGAAATTCCATCTTATATTTATAGGCGTAAAAATTTAAATTGAACAGTAACACTTCGAAAGATTAGAATTATTGTCTTAATATATAATAAAAATGTTTCGTCTCTTAATTTATTTAATAGCTCTTTGGGAGTATTCAAGCGAAGTATAAGACGGTATATACTAAAAAGTGATAATAATTAGCAAGTTTTTTTTTTGATGATTGAAAATGGTATGGTAACCCCGCCTGCACTAACGGGTTACGCTGGCGGAGCACCAGTGAAGGGTGATAGATGAGAATGAAACAGGCCAGTTAGCCCATCATGATGAATTCATCAGGAATTAACCATGATAGTTTCCAGGGAGAACCGCGAGGAGGTCGACCTGGTTGGGTATATTGCTAGCAATGGGATCCTCAGTCTCCATTACTAACAATCCCTTTCCCCCCAATAATTAGCAAGCTATACGTATATTTATAAAGAAGCTATTTACACTGTCGCTATTCAGTATTGGATATAATTTAAAATGTGCACACATATGTATCATAGTTTATATATACATACAATAAGTACCTAATTATAAGTGTAATTACTTTTTGTGCTATAATGAATAAAAAAAAAAGTTGTTGGCCGTCCAAAGCGCATTTGTCTTATTCAGCGTTCCTGCGTTTGAAATTAAACTATACAACACGTGTAGTAACCTCTACTCTATATAATATTTAATATTTATTTTAATATTACCAAAAGATGACAAAGTACCTTTGTATTGCACTAAATGCTATGAAATACATTTGTGTCGTCTCCATTACAGCATAATTTACTTGTTTAAAATTTCGTATATTGTCTTTTTTTTTTTCATTTTTTCAAATGCGTATTATATATTGTACTTCAAAAGAAATATCTTACTTTTATTGCTTATAGATATAACAAGAACTTAGGAACTTTTAATATTAATTTTTGTTGTATAAAACAGTAACAAAGAATAATCTATCCTTAAAAAAATTGGCATTTATATTAATACCAAGTAGGAATTAAAAGTTTAGTGAGTTTAAAAACAAAATAACGAAACAATAATTTTAAAATTGGAATTTGGTATTATTCCTTTTCTACATAGGGTAACAAAATACAAAAATATATATTAAATATTGAATAGAAAAAGGTTGTCTGGAAGAGATTTGTTTACTGCCTTTTGTGCTCCATAAGTGTAACATATATTAACTAGCTGACTCGGCAAACGTTGTTTTACCATATATATTATTTCGAGAACTATACATGAAAATTTATCGTACAATTATATTATATTCGATTGCCATATTGCAACCCTATTGCGGAATATAAAAATCGCGATTAAACAACAGGAGTTGATCGTAAAAGGGTGAAAATTTAAAGTTGTATGTATTTTTCAACGCTAAATCATTATAAAATAAAAATATAAAAATTTTGTAAAAAAATAAACAAAATATTTAGGAATGGGTCACCCTTATCATTGAGGGGTATGAAAAATTGATGTTGGCCGATTCTCAGACCTACCCAATATGCACATAAAATTTTATAAAAATCGGTAAAGCCGTTTCGAAGGAGTTTGGTAACAAACACCGTGTCACGAGAATTTTATATATTAGATGTTACATCAAAGTATATTTTTTCCTATGTACGTATTTTTCTATTCGTGTCTCTACTAAAACAACTGTGCTTTCACGACTGTTCCGGATTCAAAGGTACGATATGGCAGTGATGTTACAGGTTACAGAGGTATATCCCTTAATATTTAGCATTACAATGTGTGGTAATGGTGAAGAAATTGACAGTCTACACGATGAAAAAAGGTTACCATTACCTATGTACATATGTATCATAGATAGATAGACATTCTTTATTGTTTCCTCTAAAAGATTACAATAGTAAATTTATTCGAGATATAAACAATTACAAGAAATAATCACAATGAGAAAACAATGGGCGACCTTATCGCTAAGAGCGATCTCTTCCAGGCAACCTTTGGATGGAGAGGTGTAATTATAAACAGTTTGATTGGAGGCACGATGAAGACTCATATCATATAATAAAAAACAGTGCTAATTCAAAATTAAAAAGTCAATCTGATCTGGAAAATGGAAAATGACTGTGTTTCGGTTTGAAGGGTGGGATATGGCAGTGCATTTACAGGCTACAGAGAAATGACACCTGAGTTCTCAGGAATGGCAACGCGTGGAGGGTATCATGGGCGGAACAGTATACTCTGTTATGTCCATTGTACTGCTTATGTTTATAGGCGACGGTTACCACTTTCTATAAGGTGGGCTTTCTGCTTGTTTGCCATTATAAGTTGCATAAAAAAATCTGGAAAATATTTAATCCAACCGCTCGTGACACAATAAAAAAATCATTTTGTTTTGATTAAAAATAATGTGTCGTAATTTACGAGTAGGCAGCCCAACGTCAAATTACATTACAATTAATTTAAACCTATTTTTGACACACATTTTTTTTTTGTTTTTTTTTTATACAACTTAAAATGGCAAACAAGCTGACGGCCCACCTGATGGAAAGTGGTAACCGTCTCTAACACTATGCTATGTCTATAAAATCTGTGTATCTTGAAGATACACAGATTTTATAGACACACACACTCTCACTATCTAGTAACTATTGTTATGATGTACTGTAGTGTAGTTTTTTATTTCCTTCCAAATTACATAATTACTCTATATAATTGTAAAATTTAGAAAGAAATAAAATTGCCTTAAAAATTATTGTTTTAAGCTATAAATCGTATTATTGTTGATTTTCCAATAAATAAATAAAAACATAAATAAATCAAATCAGGCGAAGCCATAGGAAATAGCTAGTTGTTACATATATATATAATGCAATCAACAGGGCTCGTGTGAACAACCACCCATCTCGTCGCAGCCTTCCTTCGACCGTTTGTCCGTGACGTGGGCGGACCCCGGCAGCATGGCATCTTCAGGGGTCAACCTGTGCCATCTGCCCTCGGAAACGCCCATCAGCAACGAAGTCAAGTTTTCACCATCCGCTGGTGGTGAGTTTCCTTCATCATATATTAAAGTATATTTTAAAAACTGCCTTCAATTTTAGAGAAGTATACATGTTCAGCAATGAACAGTGGGCAGCTGAATACAATAGGACAATCTCTGTGTTCAGAGAGAGAATAGGATTGCTAGTGACGGGCTCTAACAACCTATCAGGTCGACCTCCACGCGGCTCTCCCTGGAAACCATAGAGGTTGATGCTTGTGGTGTTCATCACGATGACCTGCACACATCTTCACCTATCATCTCTCACTAGTACCCCGCCGGTCGTTACCGATAGCGCAGGTGGGGTTGCCATTCCATTCTTACCCGTTGAAATAATAAATCCCTTTGCTCATAGTACAGTCGACAAAAGATAAGCGTGGATGTATTAAAAATCATTTTTCCTCGCATGGATCAAGACTTCCTCAGCTTTTGTCCGATTCTATCCACCACTAATACTTAAGAGTAAATAAACAAAAAATCATACACGTAAACATTTTTATTTGCTGTTTGTACATAATCATATCAGACTTTAACTGTCCACAGCTGAACATTGGCCTCCCCCTAATGGAAGGTTTTGCCAGTAGTTGCCACGCTTGGTATGCGAGTTGACAACCGCAATTAGGATTTTGATGATGTTTTAAGAGGGACGTTGCTGCCCATCCCTTGACTATTTTTTTTTAAATGGATGATAATGGAATGGTAACCCCACTCGCGCTATCGGTATACACCGGCGGGGCACCAGTGAAGAATGATCGGTGAGGACGAAGTAAGTCAGTTAGCCCATCGTGACGAATTTAACAAGAATTGTTCACGATGGTTTCCAGGGGGAACCACGTGGAGGTCGACCTAATAAGGTATATTGCTAGCAATGGGGCTGGCAAACTCCATTGCTAACAGTCCTTTTCCCCCCTCCCTCGACCATTAGGTTCCTTTAGTCGCATCTTACGACACCTACGGAAAGGTAAGGGTGGCACATTCTATGCCCGGATTACACAGATCGTTTTTGTATATAAAGTTAAATTATACGTTTACTTCTTTAAATTGCTTTAGCAATTACAGTATATGAGTGTATTAAATTTATTTATAATTAACAAATTTATTTTAACTTAAATAAATATATTTTAACTTAAATAAATATATTTTTGCGCTGCGAAATATGCAACTGCGAATTTTAACAATAGTCACAAAATGCGAAGTGAGTTTTATATATTGACCTTCTTAAAAATTCAGGCCATTATACTTGTAAGTACAATTATAAGTATTATAACACGAACAAGGGAAAAGAAAAACAAAAGAAAAAATATACTTTAGTATCCATTTTCTTTATTAAAAATTTAAATGTATCTACCACTGAGCAAACACGTTATGACTATATTCGTACAAAATTTCCATGTTTGTACGAGAAGTTGTCAATTTAGTAGTTTCGATATAAATAAATAAGTAAATAAATAAATATAAATTATTTTTTTATTTCTCTCATAAAAATTTATATCTAAATAGGTTACAATTATATTTGAAAAATTAGTAAATTTTTACAATCACATATTCAATACCTATTTCCAAATTTCATATCTGCTTTTATGAGAAACTGGCGTCGGTACTAGGATACCGGGTATCACTACAGATCACCAGATTACCAACTAAGGGACATCTATTTTTACTTAGACAAGGTAATTTTCCGAAAAATAGCAGTTCAACTATATAAATGAATTAATAGAATCTGCATGACATAGTGAATGAACAAGTGTGTGTGAGAGAGGAAGTGAAGAGTGAGCTTAAGAAGAATGGCAAACAAGCTGACGGCCCACCTGATGGAAAGTGGTAACCGTCGTCTATAGATATGAGCAGTACCATGGACATAACAGAGTAGACTGTTTCGCCCATGATACCCCCCATGAGTTGCCATTCTTGAGGACTCAGGTGTTATTCCTCTGTACCCAGTAAATTCACGCCATATCCCACTCTTCAAACCGAAACACAACCATGCAAACACAACTGCTTCACGGTTGAAACACGAATAGGACAGAGGTACCCAAGCAATCGACTTTTGTACAAAGTCTCCCTCTGGTAGATATTGATACGGTTACTATAAATATTGAAATGTAGTTATATAATAATTTATAGCAAAACTGTTAAACTGTTAAAACTGTTGTACTTCCATAGATACTAACTAAAATAACTGACTTTATTTTACATGAAATATCACATATTGTAGTGGAAGAACTGCGTTGCGAAACATAGCAATTTTTTACTTGTTATGCTTTTGATGGTATCTATAAGCTACTGTAATAAAATTTATTACTTTAATTACCTTTTATTTCTAATATGAATTTACTTTGTTTAAACAAAAAGAGATGTTAGACACGCTTTTAGTCGGACGTCTAAACATGTATCGAGCATCTGTCTATCGTAAATTTAACTTTTTGTAGTAAAACGATATATCGTCATAGTCGTAGAATACTGACGGATGTTTATATGTAATCTTTGTCAGATCCGTCAGTATTCTACGACTATGACGATATGTTTTTCATCTATTTAAACAATGTAGTTTAAAATGAAATGCACCAATTCTTTGCCACGAAGATATTATTAAGATTACGTGATATAAAATACTTTTTTTATTGTCTGCCTTTTACGACCGCACACAATCTTCGCCGGCGGCAGTAAAAACTTCTTTCTTTTTCGGCGTCTCCATTAGGTATAGCAGGTAATATTGTGTAGGATAATTTTCCAATTATGGCTATCATATTCGATACAATGATATATATGTATTTGTATTATATCAACGGATTAACGGAAACACAGTTCATTTCTAGATTTATTTCTATACCTAGTTTTATTTAGATTTCTTTTTTATACAACTTAGAATGGCAAACAAACTGACGGTCCACCTGATGGAAAGTGGTAACCGTCGCCTATAGACATGTGCAGTACCATGGACATAACAGAGTATACTGTTTCGCCCATGATACCCCCCATGCGTTGCCATTCATGAGGACTCAGGTGTTATTCCTCTGTACCCAGTAAATTTATGCCATATCCCATCCTTCAAACCGAAACACAGCTATGCAAACACAACTGCTTCACGGTTGAAACACGAATGGGACAGAGGTACGCAAGCAAACGACGTTTGTACAAAGTCTCCCTCTGGTTGGATGTGGTGTGAAAATAAATACTAAATAGTCAACAAACAAGGGGAAATTGTAAGTGTTTTGAATTTTGCTGGAAACTCAGTCATCTCTCCCATCGTCCTACTTCTTACTTCATTAGATTTCTTGTCTTATAGATTAAGAAAAGTAACTGTTATTTAAAAAATATATTTATCTGAATTTTTTTAATATAGCAACTTTTCCTTATTAAAATATGTAAAATATAAACTTTTTACTGAAGATCAGGCTATAGAGCTTAGTTTCTATGCTTTTCCCATTGTGGAGAAATTGATACTACTATTCTTCTTACAATTATTATGGCAATTTTGCATTATTAAAACATATATATTAAAAACTTTTTACTGAAAATCAGGCTTTATGGCTTAGTTTCTTTGCCTTTCTCATTGTGGACAAATTAAAGGTACTACTTCTGCTGTATCTGATAACTGTCATAAAGCCATAAAATCTTTGTAGATATCTCGCATTAATTGCCATCTTAATATTATTCCTGAAACCGCTAATAATAATGAATAGTTAATAAACATTATTATATATTATATATAAAAAATACTACCAGAGGGAGACTGTGAAAAAGTCGTTTGCTTGGGTACTTCGGTCCCATTCGTGTTTCAACCGTAAAGCAGTTGTGTTTGCATGGCTGTGTTTCGGTTTGAAGGGTGGGATATGGCGTGAATTTACTGGGTACAGAGGAATAACATCTGAGTCCTCAGGAATGGCAACGCATGGGGGATATCATGGGCGAGACAGTATACTGTGTTATGTCCATGGTACTGCTCATGTCTATAGGCGACGGTTACCACTTTCCATCAGGTGGGCCGTCAGCTTGTTTGCCATTCTAAGTTGTATAAAAAAAATAGTAGATACACTTAAACAGCGATTGTCTTCTGCGCTAATAGAAAATACAAAGAGTCACCACTCGATTACATCCTAAGGATATAAGAGGTTACTTAAAGAATCATAATAATCAGTACAAGAGAAAAACAAGTCGATACAGCCGTCTCCTGGCTGATAAGTATAGTAATTATAGATTAATACCTTTCTTTCCCATAGACGTCGTAAGAGGAGACTAAAGGAACTTAATGGTTGAGTGATAGGCAGCAACGTTCTTCTTAAAACATCATCAAAGCCGGCCAACTGAGGTTACCTATCCGCTTATCAAACATGGCAACTACTGGCAAAACCTCTAAAGGGGATGGCCTATGTCTGCAGTGGACAGTTAACGCCGGTATCAACATCCTCATATCATGAGGAATTTGATACCGGCGTTAACTGTTAACTTTGTAAAACTTGTTAACGTTGTTGTTAACTTTGTTAAACGTTCGTCTGCTTGGGTACCTTTATTACATTTTTGTTGCTACCGTTAAACTAAAGAGTATAAAGGTACAAGACCTTAATCTTTAGGTATGACAACGCATGTGTATGATACCATGGGCATCATAGTCAACTTCAAATTCGAATTATTTTATTCAAACATTTTTACAAGCACTTTTAAATCGTCATTTTCCTGTAGTGTCTGTAGTTACTCCGTAATATCTGTTACGCTTTTATCATCTAGTCTAGGGGCCGTCAGCTTTTTTGTTATTCTAAATATCATAAATAATAGAAAACCGTACCCAGAACTATCTAATATTGAACGAAGTTTACTCCAAATAAGATTTAAATCAATTGGTTCTTATAGTTACGGATTATAAGTAATTACCAAATTCGAGTAAAACATTGTCGTAAAATATAATATTCTCACGCAGAGGGATCTGAAGACGAGGACTACTCCGCCAGTCTCAGTGCTGTGCTGCGTCAACGGAGGGCCAGCCTGAGACGATCTCGCAAGGGGCGAGCGAGACGCTCCTCCTCGCCTTTCCTAGCTGACGAAGGTCGCTCACGAAGACGCTCTTCTGTCTTCACTACCAGCTCTGGAGAGTAAGTTATCCTGGCCTTTCTAAGTGTACTATAGATATTCAATCCTGTTTTTTTTTTCTTTTTATTTAAGCGTTTCCTCTTGTCGGTGCAACTAATTCAAGAGGATCTTCCAGCCAGCTCAATCCTTGCCATATCCTTGACCTCCCTATACGACTACACCTAGAGTTAACTTTATCTGTGCCATGTAGTTATTCTTCGGTCTTCCCCTTTCTCTTATGCCCTCTACTTTTCCTTCTACTATGCTCTTTAAAAAATCGTCATGTTCTATAATGTGGCCCAGCATTTTGCCTATTCTATTCTCTGTTTTTGTTAATGTTTATTTCTGTTAAGTATCTTAATTTAATAAAAAAAATTGCAGTTTTTGAATTAGAACTGGCAATATAGAAAATAGCCATTCTGTTTGGACATTTTAGGTAAGTCTATTTTGTATTATGAATAGAGGAATGTTAATTTGTGTAGCACAATAGCTTAGCACATTTTTTTACATCTGTGAGGTCTTAAGTTTGATGAGTTTATGAAATGAACTAATCTTCAGCGGCCTCGTGTCATGTCTGGGTGTACTAAGTACAGTACTGAGTATGAAGGAATAAATAATCTAATAAGGTTATTTCGTCATTAATGGAATACAATATATCTGCCACACTCGATATGATAGTCACCAAATCCAAGTCTTCTATGTTGCTTATATAATAATTATTTATAAATATAGCACTGCAATATCAATGGAGGATGGACAGTCGGTTATAGTGACGCAGGAGCAAATCTTTCAAAACATTCACCTTCACAAAGAGGTGTTGGGTTCAGTGAAGCAACAGCCTCTTGGCATGAGAAGAAAGCTAAAAATTGTTCATCAAGTAAGTCGACGTTTTATTATACGAAACAATAGATATAATATGCTTTCATCATCATCATCTCAGTCATCATCTGTTCACTGCTGAACATAGGCCTCCCCATAAAGTATGAAAAGGAACGGTCTTGATCTATCTGCATCTACTGACTCCCTGCAAAGCATTTGAGGTCGTCACTCCATCTAGTGGGGATGATCCTATACTGCGTTTGCCCATAGGGGGATCGCCACTTAAGAACCTTTCTTCCCCATCAACTGTCGGTTTTTCAAGCTATGTGACCAGCCCATTTCTACTTCAGCTTTCTTATACTTCATTATTACTTCATTAATATCTATAATTATATCGATACGTGTCAATTGTGTTTATATTCATGTTTCTACCGTTAATCATGGCTGTGTTTCGGTTTGAAGGGATATGGCAGTGAATTTAAAGAGCACAGTGGAATAACACCTTAGTCCTCAGGAATGGCAACGCACAGGGATTTCATGTGCAAAACAGTATACTCTGTTTTGTCCATGGTACTGATCATGTCTATAGGCGACATTTACCACTTTTCATTAGGTAAGTCGTCAGTTATACAACTTAGAATGGCAAACAAGCTGACGGTCCACCTGATATAAAGTGGTAACCGTTGCCTATAGACATGGGCAGTACCATGGACATAACAGAGTATACTGTTTCACCCATGATACCCCCATGCGTTACCATTCCTGAGGACTCAGGTGTTATTCCTCTGTACCCTGTAAATTCACGCCATATCCGACCCTTTAAACCGAAACAGAGCTATGCAAACACAACTACTTTACTGTTGAAACACGAATGGAATAGAGGTATCCAAGCAAATGACTTTTGTACAAAGTCTCCTTCTATGTTGTGATTCAAAACTATTAACTTCTTTTTATGTTAATAAAACAATAGACTGGGAAGAAATAAAATTAGATGGAAGAATATATTAATCGATTTAAGAAAATAAAGAAATGTTGTAATACGAACTAGTTTTCTACATTTTACTTAATTAACTTTCATAGGCTAAGACCTACATCAAAAGACATGAAGGCCAACTGCAGGAACGACTAGCACAATCGAAGAGCACTAGAGATATTTACGCGCGATTCACAATTTTATTGGCTGCAGTAAGTGATTTTGCTTTGTCTATCTAAAGTTTAAAGCATAGAAACAAAAAATGTAGCAAATACAAATAATATATCGATTAGTAATGAAATGAAGAACTTTCAAGTCTTCTGTGGTGATGAAGTAATAGTTCAGTAAGACACCACTTCTATCACTAGGACGCTATAGAGTTGACTGGGTATTCGTAAATTAAATAAATAAATATTAAACACGTTTTTCAAATTCATTTAACGCCAAACAACAAGATCCATTTTGTTAGTAGTAGACTTAAAATTACGTTAGTAAAAAAGGCTATAATTTAATGAATTATATACCTGTGAGGCATTCGGTTAGGACGGCGAAAACTGGTTTCTTCAAGCATGGTTATTTTGTCTTATATAGTTTTTTATGGGTGAAAATGGTATGGTAATCCCGCCTGCGCTATCAGTATACACTGGCGGAGTACCAGTGAGAGGTGATAGGTGAGGATGAAAAGGCAGGCCAATTAGCCAATCGTGATAAATTCAAGATACATTTGTTACAATAGTTTCAAGGGGGAGCCGCGTGGAGGTTGACCTAATAGGGTGTATTCATAGCAATAGGGACTGACCTCCCCATAACTATAAAATTTCCTTTCCCCCCTTGTCTTACGAATACATTCATGGTCCTGGTGAAATGCCCTATCACAAGTACATGGGCATCCTCAGTTTTGTCAGAGTAGTAATATGTCCATTTTATGGGTGGAAACCAGTGTCAAGTAAAGATCGAGAATTGAAATTATTAGGTAAAGATATTATAGCGTCTTAGTCTTCAGGAATGGCAATGCATTGGAGTACCATACATGTATATGGCAGTGTGCAATGTACATCGTGCTGTTCATGACCGACATAATTATAAGTTGTAACACATTTTCGTCAGCTTCTCTACCATTCCTGGTGTCCAACATTTGAACTAGCAAACAAATATATTATACAAAAACCATTATGTTTTTTATAGAAATGGCAACAATTAAAACGCGAAGCCGCCAACACCTCAAACCTGCTTATACCCTGGGAGCTACGCATCAAAGAAATAGAGTCGCATTTCGGCTCTGTCGTCGCGTCCTACTTCACATTTCTTCGATGGTTGTTTTGGGTCAACCTGGTCATCGGCTTCATACTGCTAGTATTCGTAATTATTCCTGAGGTACTGGTGAACTGTTTGCGACATGTTCATTACTAACAAATATGTACCTAGAGAGGAAGAATGAACGAGAAAGGTTCATCGTACTATTAAGTTATACCATCAACATTTATAAATCTTTATTCAATAATATTTAGTAACAAAACAATCAACAAGTCCGTCTAATGGCTGCAACTATTATAGCACATAAAGGGCCCTTACATCAGAAATAGAAATATATCTTACATGACTCAAGATATGTAAAGTTTGAGTCATTAACAGAATCAAGTAGTAATTTATTCAATGCTATCTCTCACTATAGAAACATGCAAACAACTGGATTACGTGGTGGCAAAATTTATCTTCTAGTTATAAAATTTTGAATACAGTTCGTAGGGGGGGAAAGGGATTGTTAGTAATGGAGACTAAGAATTCCATTGCTAGCAATATACCCAACCAGGTCGACCTCCTCGCGGTTCCCCCTGGAAACTATCATGGTTAATTCCTGATGAATTCATCATGATGGGCTAACTGGCCTGTTTTCATTCTCATCTATCACCCTTCACTGGTGCTCCGCCAGCGTATCCCGTTAGTGCAGGCGGGGTTACCATTCCATTTTCACCCATAAAAAAAAATACAGTTCGTAATGGACGCGTCAGATGCCCAGGCTCTTAACTTCTATTTCTAAAATCACTTCAAATATCATATTTAAAAAAAATACAGCTTCCCCTTATCTGAAGACTATTAAAATCACGTAATAATAAATATAAGAATGTATAATTTACTAGGCTATCCTGGTCATGTGTTTGCCACCAAACAACATCGTATGCTTGGCTAACCGAATAAATTGCAACCAAAACATTGACTGGTAGGGTACGGTATTTACATAGCTTTTATACAGCCAATTACCTGCTTCATAAGTTAAAGTACCTTATGTTATAGAAACTAGACAACAAACGATTGGGAACATAGCACAGAACACCCAGAATTGAATCAGTTCAGAAAATCTCGTTTACTAATTTGGTAATAAAAGAGGGGACAATAGACAACGTATTCTGTAATATCTCTGGTTTATTTTTGTCAAATGTAATTGAAATCTGGTTTATATTTCTATATTATAAAAAAGAAAAAAAAAAGTAATACCGAAATCCCTTGCAGTACTTAACAGCAGACCCCCAGCAAGATGGCTCGAGGAAGATCATCATGGAAGAAGAACGCCGGAACGCTACCAACCTGCTCACTCTATGGGAATTCGAAGGTGTACTCAAGTGTTCCCCGATATTCTACGGTTACTACAGTAACATAGAGAGGCCTCAGTACTGGATGCCGCTGGCTTATTTCCTGACTGGACTAGTGGTGTATATTTATAGTTTCGTCGCCATATTGAGGAAGTGAGTTTAAATATAACTTTATGGGGTACATGTCCTTTTCATGTTCCAACAGCTAAAGACGTATTAAATTTCATTTAATTACTGTCTTGGTCGAATGTAAAATAGAGGGATTCGATACAGAAATACAATGTAAACAGACAGAATGCATGTTTATTTTTAAATATATATACGAAATCACACCTGTTAAATTAGAACTTGAACTCTAGAAAGTTATTGAAATATACCTAACTATGCAAATACCGAAATATGTGTAACACATTTTTTTTAATGGATGATAATGGAATGGTAGCCCCGCCTGCACTAACAGTATACGCTAGTGGGGTACCAGTGAGGGATGATAGGTGAGAGTGAAAAGGTAGGTCGGTTAGCCTATCCTGATGAATACACCTGGCATTCAGCACATTGGTTTCCAGGGAAGATTACGTGAAAGTCGACCTGACAGGGTATATTTCTAGCAATAAGAGTGATAATCCGCATTACTAACAATCCTTTTCTTCCTGTATAACACATATAGAGATATGCCAGATTTTACCAAAGGGAGATTTTGTACAAATCGATTTTTTGGGCCTCTGTCCCATTCGTATTTCAACCGTGAAGCAGTTGTGTTTGCACGACTGTGTTGCGGTTTGAAGGGTAGGATATGGCGTGAATTTACTGGATACAGAGGAATAACACCTGAGTCCTCAGGAATGTCAATGCATGGGGGTATCATGGGCGAAACAGTATACTCTGTTATGTTCATGGTACTGCTCATGTCTATAGGCGACGGTTACCACTTTCCATCAGGTGGGCCGTCACTTTGTTTGCCATTCTAAGTTGTATAAAAAAAAACAATGCATTGACTATGCATGGCATATTTGTAAAACAAATTCTTAAAGTTCTCGTATTCGAGGCTTAAAAACTTACTTAAAGACTCAAAATAGCCGCTTTGAACGAACTATAATACGAATATATGCTACAATCGTTCAAGAAAACCTTTGTCTTGAACTGCCACTTTAGCTTTCTAATCGTTTTTAATCGATCACTTTTATACTTCTGCAAATATCGTAAATAAGGCTCCTATCAAGACACAATCCGAGCACAACTTTACACGGAATTCACACCTAAACTCTTTTTGAAACTAGGCATGTTTACATAAGATTAGCAATGTAAGAGCGTTTGTTACCCCCGGGTTTTTTTTAATCGATGACAATGGAATGACAACCCCACTTGCGCTATTGGTATACACCGACGGGTCGCCAGTGAGAGATGATAAGTAAAAAAGAAGCAGGTCAGTTAGCCCATCGTGACTAATTCACCAATGAATCAATCACGATGGGTTCTAAGGGGAACCGCCAGGAGGTCGACCTGATAGGATATATTGCTAGTAATTGAGTTGCTAATCTCCATTACTAACAATCCCTTCACCCCCTATTACCCCCGGGTTGTAAACCAGTAAAAGATTTTGTTTCTTTCAGAATGGCAGAGAATTCTCGAATGTCGAAACTATCGGAAAAGGAGGACGAGTGTATATTTTCATGGAAACTGTTCACTGGGTGGGATTTTATGATCGGGAATACAGAGACGGCACACAACAGGATCGCCTCGGTCATATTGGGATTTAAAGAGGCACTTCTAGAGGAAGCAGAGAAGAAGAAGGATTTAAGAAAGTAAGTTAATATCTTTGTTACTCTTTAACTGTGACTTTATCTGTGTGACTGACATATGTTGATAAAACCTCAATCACAAATGCTATCATCCTCGCCATATTAGCCTTTAACTGTCCTCTGCAAAACATAAGCTTCCCCCATGGGGGGTTTTGGCAGTAGTTAGAAACTACCGCTTGGCAGGCGGATTGCCAACCTTAGTTAGGTTTTGGAGATGTTTTGAAAGAGACGCTGCTGCTCATCCCTAGCCATTCGTTAGGCGTCTTTTGCGACACTCAGGGAAAAGGAAAGGACCTTTTCTATACCGGGACCACACGAAAAAATGCTATACTGATATCAAATTAGTCCCAAAGATACAGGTCTGACCTAGTTTGGGGACTGATGGTAATGCAGATATTTCCTCGTTGAATATAAATTGTAAAAATTGTAACTTGTACCTTATGCAACTGTATCTTTCTTGAATAAAAATTTGTTTTATTATAAATTTTATAACAAATAAATGAACACAAACACGCTTTTGCATATATATTAATAAGATTTTATTTAATGGGTGAGGCTGGAATGGTAACCCCGCCTGCGCTAACGGTATACGCTAGCAGGGCTACAGCGAAGGACGATAGGTATGACGAAAAGACAGTTAGTCCATCGTGATGAATACATCTGGAATTTAGCACGATAGTTTCCAGGGAGGACCACGTGGAGGTCGACATGACAGGGTATATTGCTAGTAATAGAACGTGAAGCTCGCATTACTAAATAATGTTTGTATAACATATCAACATCATCGTCATCATATCAGCCGATATCTGTCCACTAATGACAATAAGCCACCCTTATAAATTTGAGAGTATCGCCAATAGTTGACACGCTTGGCAGCCAAGTTGGCAACAGCAGTTAGGCTTTGGTGATGTTTCAAACAGGACTCTTCTGCCCATCCCATCGACCATTAAGTTTCCTTAATCGTTTCTTCCGATACCCACGGGAAAGGAAAGGATTGCCCATTCTACACCGGGACCACGGGGAGGCTTATGTTCAACAGGGAGCAGTTAACAGCTAAAATGGTGATGATATATCGTCGTAGTCGTAGAATACTGATGGATCTTTATATGTAATATTTATCAGATCCGTCAGTATTCTACGACTGTGACCATATATGGACTATTCTAGATGGCGCATTATATCGCTACGGGCCCTCGTGAACATATGCGTGGTGATATTGCTCGCGGTGTCAGCGTACGCGGTGGTGACCGTCGTGTCGCGCTCCGATGACACCACGAAATCCAGGAGCTGGTGGCGGGAGAACGAGACCACCATCGTGGTTACCCTAATATCAATAACGTTCCCCGTATTCTTCGAGCTGTTGGGTTTCCTGGAACACTATCACCCAAGGAAGCAGTTGAGACTTCAGCTTGCAAGGTACTGTTAAATTGGAAGATTTACAACTAGTGTACCGACCTGAAACCAGGTCGGTACGGTGGTTTTATAATTCGAAATACATATATACGAGTAGGTAAACACTTTAGTTTTCCATTTCATTATTAACATAACAATGTTCATTAGCGTTTAACTATTGTCAAAGCTATGTAGGATGGTGTATCTAAATAAATCAAAATTAAGGGAGATTTTGTACAAAAGTCGATTGATTGGGTACTTCTGTCCCATTCGTGTTTCAACCGTGAAGCAGTTGTGTTTGCATAGCTGTGTTTCGGTTTGAAGGGTGGGATATGGTGTGAATTTACTGGGTACAGAGGAATAACATCTCAGTCCTCAGGAATGGCAACGCACTGGGGATATCACGGGCGAAACAGTATACTCTGTTATGTCCATGGTACTGCTCGTGTCTATAGGCGACGGTTACCACTTTTCATCAGGTGGGCCGTCAGCTTGTTTGCCATTCTAAGTTGTATAAAAAAAAAAAGAAGAAATTACTAGAACCTAGAAAACCCCTTTATTGTCGCTTAGGTGGAACCTCAGGCTGTAGTAGTCGTTAGAAAATCTAGTAATTGGGAGCTCATTTCTCAACCTGAGTGACTCTTAGGTTACATCAGGTGGGCCGTCAGCTTGTTTGCCATTCTAAGTTGTATAAAAAAAAACCTAAAAAATAAACTAAGGCAATTATTAATAATTTATCCATATATAATGTTTACTAACGACTTCGTCCGCGTAACCGGAATATTATTTATTTGTTTAAACTTCAATACTCAATTATATAATATAAGTAAATGTACATATGAAGCACTTAACACCTCATGGCATTCTCTACCACTTAACCATGAAGGAAGCAGAAAATTAAGTAGGCACTGCATTTACTAGATAGATAGATAGATAGATAATTTATTTACATTACTTACAGCACACAAATTACATTAATTAATTATAAAAAAAACATACACATAATACACAGTAAAAGAGATAAAAGAATGAAAATAAAAAAGCACAAAACAAAACAAAACAAATATATAAACTAACAATCTCCTTTCTTTCCCTTTCTTCATGCGTGTGCCATAGTAACACAAAATGGTCACAACTAAGTATATTGCTTTGCCCTTAAAAGAGCAAAACACTGATATTCTGCTGTGGCCAAGAGTCAGTCGCGAAACTTCTACTAAAATATGTACAAATATTATTACGCTAATTGAACGTAAGCAAAAAGTAACAATTAAACTTTATTTAATATAGTATTATAGTTATTTGATAAATTTTAATATGTTAGTATGTATAATGATAATGAGTGTGATCGTTTCCACGAATTTTATACGAGATACACATATGTGAGGAGTGATGTCATGTTATGCAAATGCATATCAAATATGACTCATTGTCATTAGAGGCAGTGAGGAGAACAGGGAGTCTACGACGAAATTAAATTCCCAATTTTCGGATTCAATTTCGTGTTTTCGTTCGTACCAAAATCGGCCGAAAAATAACATTTCGCTCGTCATGAATCCACTATAAAGTGCAAAGGAACTATATATTAACATTTTTAATATTTTTAAACAGTATCTATTATGTAATTTTAACACCTAATTTGTAGTTCATTCGGCCCCGAAATTTCGAAAAACATTTCATGGTGGGCCTACAGATTTTAATCGCGTTTAAAATAGATTTTTAAAATTATTAAAATAAGGTTTATTTTTACTAATCGAAATTTGTACGTTAAACGTTATCAAAATCTGCTCTCCTCTCCGAGTAAATTTTTATAAATGGAGACTAATTATCCGTAAACAAACAGCCAATGTGGAATTTTTTTTTGCATAACCTGTTTCAAAAGGACATAATTAAAAAGTAAACAAACAAATAATTGACACGATCGTAAGATAGTCTGCTGAAGTACGATGATAAAATCAATTAAATTTAAAGAGTTATCAATGGAATTGCATTAGCATTCATAACAGCTGACACTTTAAGAGACACTTTAAGCCGCATATTTGACAAAATGGATGTAAGATTACAGTCTGGTTAAATAAAACTTACTGAAAATTGAATAAACAAAAAATCGACTATTGGGCAGTTTGTTGATGTTAAACATAAAAACCGATTATTTGATTGGGTGTTTCGATTGGTTACAAACTTCTTTTAGAGAGTGTTCCTATAATAATAGTCAAGAAAACTTGCTTATATTTTTATTTAGTTCCAACTGACTATATAAGCCTGTATGTATTTATATTTTGTTCAATATTTCTATAAATTTTCTTTACCTCCCCGATTTGTATTAACTATTATTGTAGTGAAAAATACAGATACGATATGTATATTATTTTGCTTATATGATTTTTTTATTATATTCCAGGATTATGCTATTAAATTTGCTCAATTTATATTCTTTAATATTTGCATTGTTCAGCAAGATTGAAGGTATGAGTAAAGAGTTGGATTTATTGAAACCAGTTTTGGATATGAATGCAAGTTTAATACCTAATAGTACACTAGACATGAGCGAGTCTATGGCTATTAATGTACCCACATCATGTCACGAAGAAAGAGTGTCCTGCGAACCCTGTGATATTATTAACGGAATAACTTTATCACATATAAGTAACCTTAATTCTAATAAGAATTACACTTCTACTACTCCACTTTCTTTATTGTCAGTGAAACCTACCTATAACAATGGTAGTGTAAATAAAATTAATAAAATAGATCAAACTATATATTCGACTAGACCAAATCCAAAAATTTATCCATCCGCTGAAAATCTTATAGAAAACGAAGGTAATACTGAAGCATTAGAAACAACAACTGTGAATATTATAATAAGAGAACTAGAGAGATTAAGAAATATAAGTGGCATGAGTGACCCCGAAGATGATTTGAACGATCCTACCTCATACATATACGATTATGACTTTAATGATACTCTACCTACTGGTGATACTGCCACCATAAATTATTATCTAAATAATAATACAATCCCATTCGTTTATACTATAGATAATTTTACTTCTAGTGAAGATAATGTTACTAATAATTTTGAAGAAATACCAACAAGTAGTGAAATCTCTAGTAATGATTTATATACAGATAAAAGCTTTACACAAAGTGATAATATGTCTACAATGATTGAATTTGATTATACATCAGATATTAATTCAACTGAATCAACAACAACCACCTATTATGAAACGGAAAGTAGTTTTTTTAATACATTTCCTAGTGTTCAAATAAACAATAGTGCATTAACAAGCACTGATATTGAATCAACTGAATATGATACTACAACTACTACAGATTGGTCGGAATCTACTATTTTATATACAGATACTACATATTATGGCAATGGAAGTTATAGCTCAGATGTCGATTCAACAATTACCTCTATAAATACCCCAGTAATTTGTCCAGAATTTTTTAACTGTACATCGAACTGTGGTGGACATAATATAACCCAAATATTCATTATATCAAAATGTGTGATTGTAGAAAAAGTATGCTTTAAAACGATATGTGAAAAAATAGAGGTACCTATAGTTAAAAATAAAACCAATGAAACGATAGTCGATGTTGTATACCTTGATGAGAATAACAGAAAGATGTATAATTTGACTGTAGCGACGAAGAAGAAATTGTTGAAATTATGTTGGGAAACAATGTTTGGACAGGAATTAGTAAAACTTACTATGATGGATTTGGTAAGAAATCTTACAAATAAATATAGTTAAAGATATTCACAAACAAAATTAACACATCTTTTTCTTTTCAGGTCTTTGTATTATTAGGGACACTTTTCATGGATTTCTTTCGAGCTCTCTTTGTTAGATACATGAATCGTTGTTGGTGCTGGGATTTGGAGAAAAAATTTCCAGAATATGGAGATTTTAAAATAGCTGAAAACATATTACATTTAATTAATAACCAAGGAATGGTTTGGATGGGGATGTTTTTCTCTCCTGGCTTAGTAGTTTTGAATGTTGCAAAATTAATGATCATGATGTATCTTAGATCGTGGGCTGTTATGACATGTAACGTACCCCACGAAGTTGTTTTTAGAGTATCAAAAAGCAACAATTTCTACCTAGCTTTACTACTCACAATGTTATTCTTATGTGTCTTACCTGTAGGTTACACTATAGTATGGGTAAAACCTTCATGGCATTGTGGACCTTTCTCTGAATACGATAAAATATATTATATATTAACAAATAATATTTATAAAATCCTTCCAAAATCACTTAATTTTACTTTAGAATATATTACTTCACCAGCAATAGTGATTCCTCTTCTGGTATTGCTCATTCTAATTATTTATTACCTAACATCTTTAACCAATTCTCTAAGGGAAGCAAATAATGATTTAAAGGTTAGTTAATATTTCCATATATCAATATTTATTTAAAGAAAGAAAATTAGAAACTCGAATTTTTGTAATTATGTAAAATTTTTGATCAAACAATTCTGATAATTATACTTTTATATATCGTATTGTACTTTATTAACAGGTAAAACATAATTTGGAATGAAAAATAATTATTTAAATCGTTATTAATTCATCACTGATATAAATTTTAGATTCAACTACGAAGAGAGAGAACTGAAGAAAGGAGAAAAATGTTTCAATTAGCTCATACAAGAAGAAGAGTTGGTTCATCGGCTATGGACAATACTCCATTTGCTAGATGGAAAAAAGCTTTACCATCGTTGCCTCTTAGTAAATCTATAGATTCTGTTGAGCGTAAATCTATAACTGCAGACGATATCTCAGAACCAGGAAAAACAGCTAAGAAAAAAGGTTACAATTTTTTTTATGTTTAAACTATTATAAATTCCATTCCTTCTATTTCTCTAAATATTTTGTTTGAATGCAATTTAATTGCTTTAAATTTATTCTATTTTCTGTTTTAGGTAGTATATTTGCAAAAATAGTTGGCATGGCTGTAGATAAGAAACCAGATATAGAAGTTGTCTCAGAGACTAATAATGGTGTAAGTCCATCTTCCAATAACGCAGACGAAGAAACTGATACCGACTTTCACGAGTCTTTACCTAAAGAAGTCCTAAAAATAAAAGACATAATTTTCAAAAACACACAGAATAAAAAAAAGATTAGTGTTGAATTTAAAACAAACGAGGATGAAAAATCAAAATTTCAAATCGAAGATAAATCATTAAAAGTTAAGCTGGAGAAAGTAGATGACCGGACTGAAAAGAAAGCAATTTTGGAAAAACAAGATCGTATAAAGAAAGAAACTGGAAAATCGAAAACCAGTTCTACGGAAGCACCTAAGCAAACACAAAATATTGACAAAAAATTAAATAAAAAACAAACTTCTGAGTCTAGTAATTTGTCGAGACAATCGGATTCTATTAGTTCTGTGATTCCAGTAATAACTATAAGTACAACAGAGAGTGATGAAGAGATATTGCAATCACGAAGTACTAAAAACATCAAAAAAGAAGACGAGCAAGATTCCGCCGGAACGATAGCTGAAAGCTTGAAAAAAATAAATAAGCGGAGTTCAGATTTAAAATCTTTACGTAGACAGAGGAGTGTGGACAGTATAAATGAACCGAAGAAGAAGCCAGATGACGGACATAAATATAAGTACCCGTTGTAATAAATAGTTAATATTTTAAATAAACTATTATTCACTTGTTACAACATGTTATTCACTCATCACTATTTATTTAATGAGCTCAAACCAACTTACTAAGATCAATGAAATTTCTGAATCTATTAGTAAGGGATTGTTAGTGATGAGATTTAACAGCCCCATTGCATACACCCCATCAGGTCGACATCCACGCGGTTCCCCCTGGAAACCATAGTGGTTAATTGTTGTTCAATTGATTACTATGGGCCAACTGACCTACCTTCATCCACACCTGTCAGCCTTCACTGCTACCCCGCCTGTGTATACCGATAGCGCAGGCGGGGTTACCATTCCATCTTCATACATTAAAAAAAAATCTATTAGTCCAATATATATTTTAAGTATGCTTTTGTAAATCGAGAGCACAGAAACAAGAACACCAAAGCAGCGCGTAGGGATTCCCTTTAAAGTCAATATAATAAATACATATACGAAGTAAAACGATATGACTCATCGTCAGAAAATATATGATATGTAGGCCATTAACTTGTTTGCCATTCTAAGTTGCATAAAACAGAATATAAAACATAGCGCACTCGTGTGTTTAATCAAAGACTCAATGAAAACAAGGCTAAATAAAATAATTTTATAATATTAATTTAATATATATAAATAAATAAACATTTAATTTATTAAATGTTTATTTATTTATATATAAGCTTTTGTACATTCACTTATAGTATAGATATTAGGTTATAACAAAGATTTACACAGGCAGACTTATCCCTTAAAGGGATTTCTTCCAGTCTATAGACATGAGCAGTACCATGGACATAACAGAGTATACTGTTTCGCCCTTTGATACCCCCATGCGTTGCCATTCCTGAGGACTCAGGTGTTATTCCTCTGTACCCAGTAAATTCACGCCATATCTCACCCTTCAAACCGACAGCCCTACGACCTACAGCCATGCAAACACAACTGCTTCACGGTTGAAACACGAATGGGACAGAGGTACCCAAGCAAACGACTTTTGTACAAAGTCTCAAAAAGACATCATGTGACATAGTTTTAAGTGATTTATTATTTGCTTTGTGGCCTAAATAATTATGTAATTTCATAAAGTTAAAGAATATTAACATTATTTATAACTCTGTACGTACATTGGCGTTTATAGCAAAACAAACACAATTTTTTTACAACACAGTGGGCAAACAAGCATGCGGCTCACCTGATGGTAAGTGATTATCGCCGCCAATGATCGCCCACAACACCAAAGGCATTGCAGGTGTGCTGCCGGCCTTTGAAAAAGGAATATGCTCTTTTCTTGAAGATTATGATCTCGTATCGGTTCGGAAATACTGCTGCTGGAAGTGGATTCCAAAGAATGGTTGTGTGTCGAAGAAAGTGCCTTGAAAAACGCACAATGATGAAATACTAAAAATCAATATACAACTTATATAATTACTCTGTAATTCTGAATAAATATAAAAATTGTTAAGACAATTGTCAATGAAGCAGAGCATTCATGGGAACCAACGTTGCAGTATCGTCCTTCACATACGCACACATGGTATCTGGCATATAGAGAGATTACTCGATTGAATGGTGTCACCGAAGCATGGGGACTATAAGTACAACCGTCCTTAACATTATGCAGTAGCAACTCCAAACTTGTGAACCTTTTAGAGGCGAAACTCTCTCCTTTTATTGGTGGGTTCGCTCTGCATCCTCTTTCGTTGTATGTTACACCAATATCAAGGAATCTTTTAAAGCATCCACCTGTATGCGTCTCGCCATCACATTTCACTTTATATTTCTTCCATAGAAAACGTGCATGTTGATCACTTGTATCAAATATGTCGTAGCATTCACTAGTGCTTAGCCCTGTCTGGTTTAAACCACATTGGTAACATCTGCCAGAACTGTTACTTCTTATGATGTAAATAGGTTTTCCTATTTTTTTAACTGCCGTATTATTAGGACCCATGTTTCTGTGTACTATAATTATTTTATTAATTTTCTTTAGCCATATATCCCATTCTTGTAATGGGTTTCCTGTGTTTAGTTTATTTTTAAAATTTATAGTAGTCATCGTAGGTTTAAAGAATAAGCTATTATTTGTTAGAGGTCTATTCTTATTAGATGATTTATAAGTAGAGAGAGGATTTGTTTTTAAAATGTAATTAGAGGTAATACTATTTTGTGTAAAACGATTTGTTGATAGATAATTAGGTATTAATTTGAATCTAGGTATTAATGAAACATATGGCTTCCAAGACTTTGTGCTGTAAGACACGATTCTTGATGGGTAACTTGGAAAATCACCTTTACTGTGAGAGTAGAACGATATGGTCGATCTATATTCCAATTCCAACGTATCTAAATCTGAGTTCTCCGTCGTCTCGCCAGATGACGTTGTCGGTCTGTTTGAATATTTTATCGGTCTCCAAATATACCTGCTGTTGACCACGTCAGCATGTTTTCTTATAGATGACATTCTTATATCGACAGTATGTCTTACATCTGCGTAGTATGCCATTTTATTTTGAGAGGAAGAAGTCAAAAGTTTCACTTCGTCTTCATAGTCGTCTGGGAGTACGAGGACTTCACTTGTTGGCATATAAACGTATTGATTCTTAAGGCGTGATAATAAAGAACAGTTTATTAAACATACGCGTATATAGATAATTAAAATAATATAAAAATCATTAAACATAATATATAAAATAAAAATATATCAATACATTAATATGGCATATATCAAAAATGATTAACAAATGACATAAAGGTACAGACAAGCTCAAAAGTTTGGATACCTTCGTACTGAATGTTCTTGTTAAATTCCTGTTCTTAGTCTTGAAATCTTAAAAATGATAGACTGGTACAGGTCTAGAAAGAATATAAAAAGTTATCTATATCTTCATTCTGCAAACTGAAAACCCTGTAAAGCAGTCAAATCAATTCAATCCAACCTAATAAACTGTATTCTTATGTAATGTTGAAATAAAAATTAAAGATGGTAATTACCATATCATACATCAATTTTCTGACCCTTAAACTAGGATAGATGCCCTGTGTTGAAAGAAATACATTTAAATTCTTTTACATTGAGGCGAAAGAGATTGTTAGTAATATAGTTTAATAACCAGGTAAAGATCGACCTCCACGCGGTTCCGCCTGAAAACTGTCATTGTTAATTCTTGTGGAATTCGTCATGATGGGTAACTGACCTACTTTTATCCACACCGATCATCTCTCACTGGTACTCCGGCTGCGTATACCTATAGTGCAGACAAATCCAATTTTTTTTAAATGTGTGAGTCTGAAATGCAAAACAACCAAATTTAGAAAAGTACATTTCCTATATTGACTTAACGGAGAATCGACATTGCACTTCTGCATCACTGAGCGTCAAATAATCTAATTGTTTCAACCGTGAAGCAGCTGTGTTTGCATGACTGTGTTTCGGTTTGAAGGGTGGGATATGGCGTGAATTTACTGGGTACAGAGGAATAACACCTGAGTCCTCAGGAATGGCAACGCATGGGGGGTATCATGGGCGAAACAGTATACTCTGTTATGTCCATGGTACTGCTCATATCTATAGGCGACGGTTACCACTATCCATCAGGTGGGCCGTCAGCTTGTTTGCTACTCTAAGTTGTGTAAAAAAAAATATTACTAAATATATTCGCATTGAATCTAAGATTATTAACACATATCAATATACCTACCTAAGTTATAGTTATTTTGTTGGTTTAAAATAATTTAAGTACTTCAAATAAAGAAATTACTGCACTCTTGAAACCGTCAAGAAAAGAGTATATTCCTTCTTAAAAGGCCTGCAATTTCTCTGATGTTGCATTAACCCATAGGCGGCGACACTTACCATTTGTTGAACCGTATATTAGTATGCCTTTTATACCATAAAAAAAATGTACACAAAATTAAAAAACACTTAGTGTCTTGGAATAGAAATTAACAATTCCTATTAAGAAAGACTCATCAAAATCAAGTCAGAACTGATGCTGCTATCGCGTATGTTATCGCGTAGCTGGTTTTCAAATTTACAGTCGGTTTCAACTGTCGTGATTAACCAAGGTCTATGGATATTATCACAGCAATAGGTAGGTATTCTATAAATTAAATTACTAGCATATAAATCGAAATATTTATTATTATTTCGCGTGCGGTCTCGGCGTAGGATAGACCATCCGTTCCTTTCCCGTGAGTGTCATAAGAGACAGCTAAGAGAGGGTGAGAGATGGGCAGCAGTGTCCCTCTTAAAACATGGCCAAAACCTATCTGCGTTTATCAATCCATTTGCTAGGCGTGACAACTACTGGCAAACCCCCTAGAGAGAGGTTCAACAGTGGACAGTTAAAAGCTGATATGATGATCAGCTTTTAACTGAAATCAATTTGTTGTTTTTTTTTTTTATTTATGTACTAACTTTTTCCCCACTATTTCCTTAATGTTGATTTCAGAAGTGGGAAAACCAATAAAAGACGGGTATACTACCTCTGTAATAGTCTATGGTAAAATATATACCACTTTATTAAGTTAAACCTTTATTAATAGGTACATCGTTTTTCAAGGCACTTTCTTCCACGCACAACCATTCTTTGGAATCAACTCCCAGCAGCAGTATTTCCGAACCGATATGACAACATAACCTTCAAGTAAAGAGTATATTCCTTTTTAAAAGGCCGGCAGCGCACCTGCAATGCCGCTGGTATTGTGGGTGATCATGGGCGGCGGTAGTCACTTACCATCAGGTGAGTGGCATGCTCTTTTGCCCCCTGTGTTGTAAAAAAAAAAAACAATATAAACCGCATCCAAATTGATGTAGTTATCGGAATAAACATGCAGACAAGTCTAAAAATTCTTATATTGTCATCTATGGGTCTAAATAAGTCTTTTCATATTATTTTTCCTTAAATATCTCCTGTCACCTAGTTACAAATTCATTATAATTATTAAGATCATTGGACATCAGCATGTTGTCTTGCGATCGAATCAATTATTTATTTGTTTACATTTTAATTAAGTTTTATTGAAACAGAGCCCACCCTTTTTGAAGATAGTTTGAAGTTATAACCCCCTAAACCAGTGGCTGCCGGCCACACGGCACCCCCGACGGCGCGGCATCATTCCGCGACGGGCCGCCGCGCGCTCAACATGGCGCGGACCGTTACGGCGCTCGTCCTATTATTCATAAATATAGCGCACGCGGAAATATTAACTCCGCCATACTTCAACTTGGCGCAAGGCAAGAAGATTACGGCAACGGCGACATGTGGGGACGAAGGACCCGAGCTGTACTGCAAGTTGGCCGGTGCGAACACGGACGGCGACGAACACGTGATCCAAGGACAGGTAAATGTTTTTTTTTTGCGATCTCGATTAGGCAAAGGAAAAGGTTTTGTGTATGTTTGTAAACAATTTAATCCTTCTTTTATTTTAGTTTTTTTTTTTTGTGCGAATGACTAATAATATTTTAAAATAAGAACGAAGTATTTTAGTTTAGGCAAATACGTAGGTCAACGACTCTGTAATATTAGGTAATGAAAAGTTATTGAAATGTTTTTTTTTGCTATGCATGTGTTGTGCTGCTTCTGTGAACTAACAACTAATTTTATACGATTACTAGCTTCTACCCGCGACTTCGTCCACGTGACTGGGATATGTTTACTAATCGCGATAAAAAGTAGCCTATATCTTTTTCCATCTCATATATATATAGTAAGTGCCTACCAAATTTCATAACAAAGGTAAAAACAGACAAACTGACTTTTACATTTGCAATATTAGTAACGACTATTTACGGTTACATGTTTACTAATTAGACAAGTATTTTTTTTTGATGGGTGATAATGGTATGGTAACCCCGCCTGCGCTAACGGGATACGCTGGCGGAGCACCAGTGAAGGGTGATAGATGAGAAAGAAAACAGGCCAGTTAGCCCATCATGATGAATTCATCAGGAATTACCATGATAGTTTCCAGGGGGAACCGCGAGGAGGACGACCTGGTTTGGTATATTGCTAGCAATGGGATTCTCAGTTCCCATTACTAACAATCCCTTTCCCCCCAGATAAATAATTACTATGGCACAGTAAATGAAGCTGGACGAAAATAATATATGCTATATATATTTTTTATTATTTCTTAATAAGCATTTATGGGGGGAAAGGGATTGTTAGTAATGGAGTTTGATAGCGTCATTGCTGGCAATATGCCCTGTTAGGTCGACCTCCACGCGGTTCCCCCTGGAAACCATCGTGAACAATTCTTGTTGAATTCGTCACGATGGGCTAACTGACCCGCTTCATCCTCACCTATCATCCTTCACTGGTGCCCCGCCGGTGTATACCGATAGCGCGAGTGGTGTTACCATTTCATTATCACCCATTAAAAAAATTTAGCATTTAAAGCATAGAGTAATTTTTGTTGTAATTGTTATGTCTACTCTGTATTTCTTTTTTTATACAACAATGGCAGCAAACATACAGCCCATCTGATAATAAACGGCCGTCATAGTCTATGGGCAATTTTAATACCAGGGTTGTCACATGCATGTTATGATTTTACATTCTTAATTCGTTACATTGCATTTTTTCTTATCCTAAAAAGTTCCATGGAAATGATTTTTTTTTTTTAACAAATAAGGGTATAGTAACACAGCTTCACATCTCATGTTTGAGATAAAGGGAAGCAATGATAACATATCGCGCGTCCTGTTGCGTCCCATTCGACTGATAACGAGTTCGATGCCTCCGTTGTTACGAAAACTAAGCAACTACATATAAAATTTAAATACGACAGTTTCTGTGGAAAAAAAAATATTCTTCACTGTAATCCCCCATGGGGTTGCAAATGACGTATTTACATACGTCACTTGTCCCCTCTAAGGTAGATAAAAATACCCTATTTTATACATATAGTTATGTATATACGTGCCTTATTTATTTACAGAGTAGGAAAAGTTATTTGTGTGTGTGGTCTCTATCCTTATTTTAATTTGTTTATTTTTTTAACAACATAGAATTGCGAGTAAGCGACAAAAATAAATAGATTAAGTACGCTGCATACATTCCATACCTCTATTATACTTCTGCATTCTGCATTATAATCCATGCATTCTATATCAGTATTATACGTGTGGCGTGAATTTACAGGGTACAGAGGAATAACACCTGAGTCCTCAGGAATGGCAACGCATGGGGGATATCATGGGCGAAACAGTATACTTTGTTATGTCCATGCTACTGCTCATCTCTATAGGCGACGGTTACCACTTTCCATCAGGTGGGCCGTCAGCTTGTTTGCCATTACGTTGTATAAGAAAAAAAAATACATCTGCATTATGCTCCATGTCTACAATATACTTCTGCATTCTGCATTGTACTTCGTGCATTCCACATGTACGTTATACTTTTGCATTCCACATTATGTTCTATATATATATATATATATATATATATATATATATATATATATATATATATATATATATATATATATAATATCATCTTTACGTTTCACATTTCATCACCACTTGTAGCGCTCAGACATGTCATAAGTGGCAGACATTTCATTCAACTACATACTTATTTACCTTAATTATCAAGACATAAATAGTAACAATTATCACTTGCCTAAATATGTACTTACACATTCATAACTTCTTAGGTCCAACTGATAACACACTACTGTGATCGTGCTAATTTATTGGCGTTTATCGTATGACCCCCGAACTGGCTATCTCATGAATAACCGACTTCGGGTTGTGGTCGTATTTTTTTTTTTATTGGATGAAAATGGAATGGTAACCCCGCCTGCGCTAACGGTATACGCTGGCGGGGCACTAGTGAATGGTGATCGATGAGGATGAAAACATGCCAGTTAGCCCATCATGATGAATTCATCTGGAATTAATCATGATAGTTTCCAGGGGGAACCGCGAGGAGGTCGACCTGGTTCGGTATATTGCTAGCAATGGTATTCTCAGTCTCCATTACTAACAATCCCTTCCCCTCCCCCTATATGGTTGTGGCCGTATTAGAGAGAGCAAACTGCTTTAGTATAGTGCATGGGTACTTATACATTCAATCCAACATATTAGTATATTTCTGTAACAACTTTATTAAAATAGTGGTTAAACATTCTATCGATAAAAACGGTTTCATTAGCGTTCGCACAACACTAGTCTTAGAACAAGACGCACAATGTTACTATCTCATTCTATCTATACACGCGGTAGCGATAACGATACATGAACTTTATGAACAGATGCAAAAAAAATGTAACAGTGCAACCCACTGTTACATTTTTTTGCCCTGGCTTACAAATTAGGGTAAACTGTCTTGTAAACCAGTTCCTTCCAATATACAAGAACTAATACTATGTATTTGTACGTGCAGAACTATAAGTTATACTATAAGTTATAAACATAAACAGGATAAATAAAAAATAAAGAAATTAAAGTTAAACTAAAAGGTTACAGTTACGGTAGATTTAAATTAAAACGTAAAATGATCATTATTATATATATATATTACTATTATGTGTATATATATATATATATATATATATATATATATATATATATATATATATATATATATATATATATATATATATATATATATATATATATATATATGTAAAATATATAATTAAATTGTAATTGAATTTATATGAATGTAAAAGAAACTAATTATAATTAAATTAAACTTAAACTAAAAATAATTAAATTATGTTCCACAAACGAAATAACATCTTCAATATATAAAAAAAAAAAAAAAAAAAAAAACAATTATAAATTAATTGTTTTTTTTTCTATTATTATTTAAGATTCAGCTACTAAACTCATTAGAATAAAATTTCTGTAGAACCAGAGGGATATACTCGTATTGTACCAGAAGGAGATTTTGTACAAAACTCGTTTGTTTGGGCACCTCTGTCCCTCTCTGTATTCTCCTAGACACAGGAAGCCATGGAGCCAGCAAGTTGCCAAATAAATTCTAATAAGGTTTTTTATGATCATATAACTGTTTATTTACGTATTGACAGATAAATCTATATTCTTACGTCAAGACAGTGACGTAATTTATTTAAATACGGATGTAACACGACACGTTTTTGTACTCACATAAATGCTAGCTTTTACCCGCGACACTGTCCGCGTGACCGCCACATGTTCAATGATAGGAATAAAAAGCAACCATTGTCCATTTCTATTCCATTAACTAGGTTTAAACCAAACTTCATAGCGATTGAAGTAACAAACAAACAAATTCGTTCATATCAGCCTTTAACTGGACACTGCTGAACATAAGTCTCCCCCTTGGGGGGTTTTGCCAGTAGTTGCCATGCTTGGCTGGCAGATGGGCAACCACAGTTAGACGTTGGAGATGTTTTAAGACGGACGCTGCTGCCCATCCCTCGCCCTCCTTTAGTTGCATCTTACGACACCTACGGGAAAAGAAGGATTGGCCTAATCGTGTGGTCCTGGCAAACCAGGATATGTGGAACACCATTTTAAATTACTATCAAATAAAACAACTAACTGTACAAAGTAGCTTCAGTCAATTTCGATGCAGTTTTCCGAAAGAAAATAGACTAGAAAGTAGCCTAATCAAATGCGTACTTTTGTTTGAAGTTGGGTAACAATGGACGCCCTCCGTGGCGCAGCGGTAGGCACAGTACTTTGGATATCGAAGCCCCGGGAATGATTCTTAGTCAGACCAATTTAGGAAAACGATTTTTTCCGAATTAACTCGAATCTGGGTGTTTTTTAGTTATGTATTTAGGTGTTAGTTGCCTGGGGGTCTGCCATGAAATGAAATTTCGAATTTTCGGACTTAATTTCGTGTTTTCGTTCACCAAAATCGCCCCAGCAAATGGAGCTTAATATTTTGTTCGTCATAAATCCTACAAGACATATGGTAAAAGTCCAAAGGAAGGAAATTTTAGCATTTTTAATATTTTGAAATAATATGTATTATGTAATTTTAACATCAAATATTTGTTTCGTTCAGCTTCGAAATTTCGGAATACATTTTATTGTAAGCTTTCTGGTTTCCTATAACACAGAGTACCCTGGCTTGAAAATCAAGCTAACATATCTGCCTCTACTCCATTTACACCAATCACTTTACGATTGATGGGATTACTTTTTTGTTAACTATAATAACTAATATGAAACTTAAAATGACAAACAAGCTTGCTAAATTTTTTTTTTTACCAGAGGGAGACTTTGTACAAAAGTCCTCTATCCCATTCGTGTTTCAACCTTTAAGCAGTTGTGTTTGCATGGCTGTGTTTCGGTTTGAAGGGTGGGATATGGCGTGAATTTACTGGGCACAGAGGAATAACACCTGAGTCCTCAGGAATGGCAACGCATGGGGGGTATTATGGGCGAAACAGTATACTCTGTTATGTCCATGGTACTGCTCATGTCTATAGGCGATGGTTACCACTTTCCATTAGGTGGGCTGTCAGCTTGTTTGCTATTCTAAGTTGTATAATATATATATATATATATATATATATATATATATATATATATATATATATATATATATATATATATAACTTAGAATGACTAACAAGCTGATGGAAAATGGGAATCGTCGCCTATAGACATGAATTAGTACCTTGGACGTAACAGAGTACGCTGTGCCGCTCATGATACCCTTCATACGTTGCTATTCCTGAGGACAAAGGCTTTTTTATGGATAATAATGGAATGGTAACCCCGCGTGCGCTATCGGTATACGCTGGCGGGGCACCAGTGATAGATGAGGATAAAAGCAGATCGGTTAGCCTATCGACGAATTCCACGAGAACCCACCAGGGGGAACCGCATGGAAATCGATCTGATATTGCTAGCATTGGGGCTTTTAGAACCCATTACTAACAATTTCTTCGCTTCGGACTAAGATGTTATGCTTCTGCATTCTGTAATTTAATTGCCATATCCAACTTTACAAACCAAAACACTCATGCGCACGAAACTGCTTCATGGCAGAAACATGAACAGGACCGAGGTACCCAAACAGACGCAGTCTCGTTCTGGTAAATGTGGCAAAAAAATCTTTACTCAAACATGAAATATAAGTGGATCGATTTAATTACCCAGCATGGGTCAGAGCCACTTTAAATTCATAATATTAGTAAAATAAATAAGGATTACAGCAATAATGTGACATCTCTGACTATGAATTCGAGGATTTTATGGATTATAAATAAATCTATATATCATTATGTGAATAAGCAGTCGTATTACCTTCAAAACCAGAATTGGTTTGAATACGTAATGAATGTATAGAGATACAACGAACTCGAATAGAGTACGAATTATATAATTTCGAACAAAACAATGCCCCGACCATTTCATCAACAGAGGTAATAAGTAGCTGCTTTATAATTTCTTTTCTTTGATTTATCATCTATCATCATGCTAGGTCACTTGCGGGATAGACAGAGGGAGACTTTGTACAAAAGTCGATTGCTTGGGCACCTCTGTCCCATTCGTGTTTCAACCGTGAAGCAGTTGTGTTTGCATGGCTGTGTTTCGTTTTGAAGGGTGGGATATGGCGTCAATTTACTGGGTGCAGAGGAATAACACCTGAGTCCTCAGGAATGGCAACGCATGGAGAGTATCAGGGGCGAAACAGTATACTCTGTTATGTCCATGGTACTGTTCATCTGTATAGGCGACGGTTACCACTTTCCATCAGGTGGACCGTCAACTTGTTTGCCATTCTAAGTTGTATAAAAAAAAAAGACAGAGAGAACCTCTACCGTCACATATATTCTATTTATATTAAGGATTATTATAATCACACAGTGTTGTATTTCACTTTCTTGAAACTTCATAACGTAAGACGAAACTAAAGCTCGACATGATAATAAAAAAAAAACCGATGAGCTGGTAGTTGAACTCATCCACTGAGGATTCCATATTTAAATATGAGATAAAATTTTCTCTATTGCATTTTTTAAGTCTTAAAAGCTTTTCTTCAGATATCAGCCCTTCTTCAGCCCTTTCGTACCCTGAACTGATTTGTCAGATAAAATTTTATCCACTTTCCCTATTCACGGACACAGAGGAATTAATGGGCATCAATAATTTATAGAGATATTAAAAAATGTCTATTTTGAGTTCAATTTTTGTAAGTTTTTTGATAGTTTTATTAAAACGGTACTAGTTAGAGACGTAATTTTATTTTTTCTATAATATTCACATTTACTTTTATACACTCTAATTGTTTTAGATTATACATTTAAAAAACTTGAGAAATAAAGGGGGGATGATGTTTTCTCACATTTTCGATCATAATAAATACTATATAACATAAAAATAAATAAAAATCAGTTTTAAAATATACAAATGAAGCTGTTTCATAAAATACCTTACTTGTACTTTTTTTTTTTAATGGATGATAATGGTATGGTAACGTATACCGTTAGCGCAGGCGGGGCACCAGTGAGAGATGATAGGTGAGGATAAAGCAGGTCAGTTAGCCCATCGTAACGAATACAACAAGAATAGTTCATGATGGTTTCCAGGGGGAACCACGTGGAGGTCGACCTAATAAACATCGCTTGTACTAGTAGGTCAATTTTGAAATTTTGGCTCCCCTAACAAATAAAAATATTTTTTTTTTATAATTTCTATTGCAATATGGGCAGGTCAACGATATTCAAACCATTTCAAAATTCAATACAACGGTATTAGTGGTTGCTGAAATATAACGCTGTGACAGACAGACGAACGAACAAAGACGCACCATAAGGCACTGCTAATAGAAAAAAGATATATATTTCTCTGTTTTTATTGTGATGTGATGTGATGTGCGATACGTGAAAATTTTCGTACTCCGTTCACGCAATTTTCGTAAAAAGGGGTACAAAGTTTTTACTTCACGTATTTATATAATAATAATCTCTAATATATAAAATTCTCGTGTCACGGTGTTTGTTACCAAACTCCTCCGAAACAGCTTTACCGATTTTCATGAAATTTTGTGTGCATATTGGGTAGGTCTGAGAATCGGCCAACATCTATTTTTCATACCCGTCAATGATAAGAGTGACCCACCCCAAAATATTTTTTTTTATTTTTTTGACAATTTTTTTTATTTTTATTTTATTATAATTTAGCATTGAAAAATACATACAACTTAAAATTTTCATCGTTTTACGATCAACCCATGTATTTTAATCGCGATTTTTATATTTCGCAATAAGTGGTAAAACAACGTTTACGGGGTCAGCTAGTAGTAATATAATATACAGTATAATATATATATATATATATATATATATATATATATTATACTAGTCATATTATTATTTTCAATCTTCTGCAAAAAGAAATAGGTTCTCAATTCGGTTGTATTATTTAATTACCTCATAACTATTGTACGTCAGTTGTAAACCGATTTGGTAAATTCTGTTTTCATCTTACAAATTGGTTTTATAGAAATTTTATCAAAAGTCGGTTTAGTAGTTTAGTTTTTAAATCAAAAAAATTGATTTTGCAACATTAAAGTCTTTTTTTAATGAAACATAATCTTAATTATTATAATTTTAATAACTCTATTCTTTACTGATTATTTGACAATACAGTGAAATACATAGGGCACGATATTGCTGTATACAATTTTTTTTTTGTTAATTGTTCTATGTAACATATGTTTTTCTAAATCATTGATAAGTAGTATCATGTCATCACAAGGTGATCTTCATTTACATAATATCGAAACCCGATCCGAAAGACGGGACTTCTGGTAGATTGTAACGAAATCCTGCTACCGTTCGGCAAACATCGGCAGCCATCGGTGGCGCTCGTGGCCTTTTTTGCGGACATATGGCGACCAAATGCGCTTGCGCATCCTGACTCTTTTGTTTCACAGATTCCCGATGTTTGAATACTTTTTTTTCGTCTGTATCGCATAAATATGAATGGTCGTTTGTTTAGGCGTAATAATGGACGTTTCCTTATACGAATTAAAAGTTTTGCATCCGGTTCAATCGTTAAACTAATGTGAGGTAGACCGCCGCAATTTTAAATGTTTTATAAGTAAATTTTGCTCACTAAAATAAAATCTTCAAATGCACTATATCGATTTGGGAATTATAGGAAAACCACGCACTACCTGCTATAAAAATCAAAATCGTTTAGCATATACCCAAAAATAGGAGCGAATTATAAACCCCTCATTCTTTCTTGAATATCCAACGACCCTGAGGGGTAAGGATTGGTAGTGATGAGGAGGTTGGTCCCCATTGCTAACAATATACCTACCTTCTCAGAGGTCCTGTCTATCTGTATGCGGTTCTTCCTAGAAACCGTCGTAGTTAGTTCCTAGTGAATTCACCACGATGGGTTCACTAATCTTTCTTCATATTCATTTATCATAATATCATATCAGGTAAGTTCTGATCTTCATAGTAATTTACAGTGTTACCCTGCACTTTGGTTATGTTTTGTTAAGAGAGGCACTGGCTGAAAACCAACGCTGTACAGCTGTTCACATTGCGCTGGGACACTCACAGCATCCGCTGAGCCGGTTCCTTTTGCCTAGTATGGGACACTTTTTGTATATGTTATTTATATTTTACATTGTAATTGTATGGCAATAAATGTTTCTATTCTATTCTATTCTATTCTTATCATCATTCACTGCTATCCCACTAACCCTACAAATACCTATAGTACAAACAAACTTACCATTCCATTTTCATTTCCAAAAAATAAGCGAAGACTCTAAGAACAGTGTAAGTAATTTTAAAATTTCCTCCCCAGATATGTGACGTTTGCGACGCCACATCCGATTCAAAGAAGCATCCACCAGAGTACGCCGTGGACGGAATGGAAACTTGGTGGCAGAGTCCACCGCTCTCCAGAGGGATGAAGTACAATGAAATCAACTTAACTATTGATCTTGGACAGGTGAGTTCTGATCTTATCTTTTTTTTTTATTTATTAAAAATTCCAAACATAATTATCGATTAAATTGTGTAAAATTTAGTAAAACGAAATCTACTTGACAGATGAGTTCCAAAAATGTTTTAAAAATTGATAAATATTTACGAAGAAAATGTTTCTAAGTCCCTAGGTAATAATTATAATGATTCTAAAATAACATTCTAGAATCTAGTGTAGAACGCGCAACTTATCCAGTCTGAAGGTATAAACATTTGTCCAGGAATCCGTAACATATCATAAGTAAACTTTATAAAAAGAATTTTGAAAAGTCATTTACTAATTTATAAATGGAATGAAAATTTATATGATAGTCTTATATCTTTTTTTTTTAAATTCCTTATTAAAGGAATTTTATACAGATAATGGTAATTTAAATATGACTATTGCTGTCTCTCTTGAATGACAAAGAGAACTATACGTATTATTTGTCTTTGTCCCTAAATATGACCATGGAATAGCTACATAGTGAATATAATACATAAATAATTAATAGGATATATTATTATCTAATATTACGATAGGTAGGTGTTGGTGAAGATTGCAACGTTCTTTATTTTAATAGCTTTTTTTTTTTATTTTATCAATCTCTGTTCTTCTTTTGTTTTTTAATTGCATATTTTTCTATCAAGTGTACAGAAGCAATTTATTATTACAAAACAATTATTTATTTATTATTCACCATAAAACTGGGAAAAACGTCGTACTCCCCATCAGGTGTTCATCTCATATCCTAATCTCCTACTGTAGTATACGCAATATCTCTCACTTTATGTGTACACTTCAGCGTGTATCCGGGACATGGCATCCCGAAATAGTGTGCACAGCGTCTGAAAGTGCATTGACCCCCGTTACCTCACCATGTTAGGGACATTAAATTTATTATAGCCTGAGACTTAATTATAGAGCTAATATTGGTTATTGTGTAATGCAAGAAAACTTCAGCTGTTTCTCTGTATTTTTTTAGAAAATAGAATCCGATAGTTATGTCGAATAAAACAGATATTTTACTATATCATTTTAAAATTATTAATTATAACATATTGTTTACCGTTACCCCATATTTTTTTTAATCAGAATGGAATGAAAGAAAGGCGTTGAAAATTATAGAAATCATAGACAACAAAGTAAGTGGATACATAAAGAAGGAAAGTAAAATTAAACTATAAACTATATTTTTTTCTTTGATGGGTGGAAATGGAATGGTAACCCCGCCTGCGCTAACGGTATACGCTGGCGGAGCACCAGTGAAGAGTGATAGATGAGAATGAAAACAGGCCAGTTAGCCCATCATGGTGTATTCATCAGGAATTAACCATGATAGTTTCCAGGGGGAACCGCGAGGAGGTCGACCTGGTTGGGTATATTGCTAGCAATGGGATTCTCAGTCTCCATTACTAACAATCCCTTTTCCCCCTATAAACTACATTAGAGTACGCCAATCAGTTATTTGATATCCATAATATTATAATCTCTGCCTAGTTTAGAATAATTGGCACTATTGTCTAGTGATTATTATTGTATTTATTTTAATTCTTTTTTTAAAAAACTTATCTTAAAATAACATTTAATAAACAATGCACTGCACTACTTCAAGGGAAACAATTATCCTCTATAAAAAAAAATACACTAACAAGCATAGATTAAGTATGTGTTTGCGGTACCCGTTCTACGGGTTTAAGGGCTTAAAAAAATGTGAACAAGATTATAGATTAAGGATGTGCCTTCGGTCACCTTCCTACGGGCAAGGGGCTTACAAAAAAATTAACAAGAGCATAGACTATGGATGAGACTGCGGGGTACCCTATCTACGCTACGCTTTCAAAAAAATTGCTACTATATTGTTTTATAAATATCGGGGTAAAATAATATTTTTAATGGTTGAAAATGAAATAGTGACTCCGCCTACGTTATTGGTATACACTAGCGGGGCACCAGTGAGGGTTAGGCGAGGATGAAGTAGGACAGTTGGCTTATCGTGATGAATTCATTGTTAACCACGATAGTTCTCAAAGGAATCCGCGTGGAGGTCGACCTGATAGGGTATATTGCTAACAAGAGAACAGTTCTACTTCAACTAACGAGTATCACTGTTATAATAGAATAGTTTGTGAAGACGTATGTTTGTTACTCAATCGTGCCTAAACGGCTGAACAGATTTAAATGAAATTTAGCATACGAGTAGGTTATACCTTAACACATAGGATAATTTACACATCGATGCATACAGGAAAAATCGCGAGGAACAGCTAGTGTATAATATGTATAGAGATGAATATTAAATAAAACATTTAGTGGATACTAAGAAATAATACACTCTTTTGTATTACATAGTAGGCAGTTCACATACGAGACTGTACTGTGACGCAGAGGTCAACATGATTATGTATAAAAACTTAGAATTTTTTCTTTATCTCTCCCTATATTTACGTTTGTATTGGTATCACTTAAAAATGCTAAACTCATTGATAATAGTTATAATATTATCATATAATTATTGTCTAACTAAAGATGTGATGTAAAAATTTTTAACTTTTTTCAATCGATTTAGTACTTAGATTCCTAAACTATTTTGGGTAAGAGAGAGAGAGATAAAAAAAGAATTATTCAAATCAATTGACAACTGAAGGAGTTGTGAGGTTTTTAACATAAAAAAAAAAATAATCAAATTGAGACTCTCCTACTTTTTGAATACGGTTGAAAATAAAATAATACTGTAATTATAATAATAACAATTGTTACTGCATAATCTATGGTTGCTGCAAGTATCGTGAAGTGTGGAGCAAATTGCGACGATCTACTAATCAGCAGCTATATTCACGTCATTCGTTATACTTGTATTATATACCGTCACCTCTTCTTTTCATATATACAAACATATTGTAAATTTATATATTTCAAATGCTTACATTTTTTATATACAACTTAGAATGGCAAACAAGCTGACGGCCCACCTGATGTAAAGTGGTAACCGTCGCCTATAGACATGAGCAGTACCATGGACATAACAGAGTATACTGTTTCGCCCATGTTACCCCCCATGAGTTGCCATTCCTGAGGACTCAGGTGTTATTCCTCTGTACCCAGTAAATTGACGCCATATCCCACTCTTCAAACCGAAACACAGCCATGCAAACACAACTGCTTCACGGTTGAAACACGAATGGGACAGAGGTACCCAAGCAATCGACTTTCGTACAAAGTCTCCCTCTGGTAAACTTATTAAAATCATATCCAAATCAACAACAAATTCGTTATTACTGCAAACCCAGTAAAATAAATTTGGAACTACCCAATCGGTAAGGGCAAACCAACACACACATGCCCAAATAACAATATGTACTCGGAGTTAGTTAGTGAGTTCCCTACCTAGGTTTTCCTTGGAGACTACTTTATAGGGTACTTCAGAAAAGGCAATAAGGTTTTTGGAATAGGATTTATATTTTTGTATTTTATCTTTTGTTTCATATTTAAAAAAAAATTAATTAATTTGACTGTATTTGTTAATTTACATGTGTCATAAATGGCTCAAATAAAGTGTTTATCTATCTATCTATCTATCTATTGGACACCCGTTTAGAATGAAAAGTGTTGTATGCATATAAACAATCTTGGTACTTCTAAATAATTTAAAAATATGTTTATAAAAATCTATTTCAATTGTGAAAAAATCTGTTATATTGATTTTGAAAATTAGTTCAAAAGTTACTTTCCCTTGGTCGCCTCTTACGACGTCCATGTAAAATAAAGGTATGGTATATTCAATGCCGGAACCATACGGTTTAAAGTTGAATTTTATTTATGTACAGGTCAGTTAGCCCATCGTGACGAATTCAACGATTTTGCCAAGATGGTTTCCAGAGGCATCCGCGTGGGGCCTAACATTCCTATTAGGGGGAAAGGGATTGTTAGCAATGGAGTTTTAACAGCCCCATTGCTTGCAATATGCCCTATCAGGTCAACCTCCACGTGGACTAGAAACCATCGTGAACAATTCTTGTTGAATTCGTCACGATGGGCTAACTGACCTGCTTCATCCGCACCTATCATTCTTCACTGGTGCCCCGCCGGTGTATACCGATAGCGCGGGTGGGGTTACCATTCCATTATCACCCATAAAAAAAACATTGCTATTAAAAACAATCCCTTCCTCCCTGAAGTTGAATTTGTCACTAAACCACGAAATGTATCTACAAAATTACTACAAAATTTTTCAAGTATTTTGCACAGCGACTGTCTCTATACCAAAACGCTTTCTGCTCAAATTTTGATATATGAAACCGTTCGATTTTGCTTGCGTATTGCTATGCGAATTTTGTAATTGTTATTTCTTAGAATAATTTGTGTAACGTGATATTCGCTAAATACTTTTTAATATTGGCGAGTGTCCTTTGTAGTTGTGTAATTAGTATTGTGTGCATGTGTGTGTGTGTTTATGTGTATGTGTGCGTGCATTTGTACGTATGTTCTTATGCGTGTGCGTGAGCTTGCGCGTGCGCTGACTATATTTATATTTTTTTTTATACAACTTAGAATGGCAAACAAACTGACGGCCCACCTGATGGAAAGTGGTAACCGTCGCCTATAGACATGAGCAGTACCATGGACATAACAGAGTATACTGTTTCGTTCATGATACCCTCCATGCGTTGCCATTCCTGAGGACTCAGGTGATATTCCTCTGTACCCTGTAAATTCACGCCATATCCCACCCTTCAAACCGAAACACAGCTATGCAAACACAGCTGCTTCACGGTTGAAACACGAATGGGACAGAGGTACCTAAGCAATCGACTTTTATACAAAGTCTCCCTCTGGTAAATCGATTTGTAATTTTTTTTTTTATCTGATGATGAACAATATATGCTTACAGATTAATAAAGGAATTGTATCAAAATCGGTTTAATAGTTTAGATTTAAAATCCAAACAAATGGTTTTCACAATATTCACTATTATTACTTTAAAA